AGATAACAAATTTGTTAAACATGAACGGCCATTTATAAAACCATGTTGCGACTCAATTATTAATTTATGTTTTTCAAGATGAAGACGAATTTTATTTGCTATTATAGATTCGAGTAACTTTCCCACAATAGACGTTAGGCTAATTGGTCGATAGTTAGACGCAAGTGATCTATCTCCTTTCTTAAAAACTGGTATCACATTAGCAACTTTCCAAAACTCTGGCACTCTGCCTGACTCTATTGATTTATTAAATATGGTTGACAGTGGGTCACAAAGCTCCTCTTTGCATTCTTTAAGCACCCTAGCAAACACTTCATCCGGCCCTGGGGATTTGTTTGGTTTGAGTTTTACTATTTGTTTAAGAACATCCTCCCTGGTAACTGCTAAACTCGTCAACCTGTCCTCGTCCCCACCCACATAGACTTGTTCGGCTGAAGGCATATTGTTAAGTTCCTCTTTAGTAAATACAGATACAAAATATTTATTAAAAATACTACTCATCTCTTCATCACTATCTGTTATTTGACCTGTCTCAGTTTTTAATGGACCTATCCTTTCCCTAGTCTTAGTACGATATAACTGAAAAAACCCTTTAGGATTTGTCTTTGCTTGCCCTGCTATGCGAACTTCATAGTTTCTTTTTGCTTTCCTTATCTCTTTTTTAACATTTCTAACCAGTTGTACGAATTCCTGTTCTAAAGTGACCTCCCCATTTTTAATCCTTTTGTACCAAGCTCTCTTTTTACCTATAAGGTTCTTCAAATTCTTTGTTATCCACTTTGGGTCATTAGTATACGATCTATTCAATTTGTATGGTATACTACGTTCCTGTGCTTTGTTTAGAATATTCTTAAATAAGTTATATATTGAATCCACATCGAAATCCCCATTTAAGTCACCTATCGCTGGGTTCATGTCTCGCTCCAAGACCGGCCCACACCCCATACCCAAGCCTTTCCAATCAATTTGACCCAAAAAATTTCTTAGGCTATTAAAATCAGCTTTTCGAAAATCTGGCACTTTAACAGAATTTTCTCCTACTGGTCTATTCCATTCTATGCTAAATCTGATTTCTTTGTGATCACTGCTCCCTAGCTCACTCCCTATTTCGATGTCATTAATTTGCGTTTCCCTGTTAGTTAACACTAAATCTAAAATATTATTTTCCCGTGTTGGTTCCTTAATGTGTTGCGTAAGAAAGCAATCGTCAATTAATTCTAGAAAATCTTCTGCTTCACTATTCCCTGTTTTGTTCAACCAGTTTATTCCGCTAAAATTAAAGTCACCCATGACATAAATACTGTTAGATCTAGATGCTCTAGATATTTCATCCCATAGATGCTTTGCTTCCATTCTGTCTAAATTTGGTGGCCTATATATTACTCCTATTATAATATTATTAGCTTTTTCGTTTAATTCAATCCAAATAGTTTCTGTGTGTGGCTCTGTTTTGATTCCCTCTTTGAGACTACATTTCAAATTGTCCCTAACATATATGGCTACTCCACCTCCTCGTCTAATATATCTATCTGTGTGAAATAGTTTAAATCCATATATTTGATATTCAGCTAATAGTTCTCTATTTTCTACATTCATCCACGTTTCGGTAAGTGCAATAATATCTATTTTTTCTGTGCAGACAAGAGCATTTAATTCGTTAATTTTATTTCTTAGACTTCTACTGTTAGTGTAATATACCCTAAGTGAATTGTTATTTTGCGGACCTTCTCTTTCCCTGATCGTTTTGCCAATTCCTTTCTCCCACAAACACATACTTTTATTACCTCCTTCCTCCAAATCAATTCCCATACCTCTATCTACTAACAGTTTAAACCCAAACAAACACCTCTAACCACTTCTTCTAGCGAGTTCGCAACAGCAACAACCCCAGCTCTCGATAGATGCACCCCATCACGAGCATACATTTCATTTCTTCCATAGAAGTGTTCCCAGTTGTCTATGAAAGATATTGCATTTGATTTGCAATATCTTTCCAGCCGGCAATTGACACCAAGTGCCCTCGATATCCATTCATTTCCCACTCCCTTTCTTGGAAGAATGCCACATATGATCGGGATTCCTCCCTTGCTCCTAACTAACTCTATGGCTGTTTTATACCTCTGAATCAGTTCCTCACTCCTGACTCGACCAACATCATTTCCTCCCACGCTAATGCAAATAATGGGATTGTTCCCATTACCAGCCATAATATCATTCATGTTGTTTATAATATCACCAATGCCAGCTCCGGGATAGCAAACCCTTAACCTGTTCCCCCTATCTCTAGCACAAAACGTTCTATCCAAATACCTTATCTGGGAATCTCCCACAACTAATGTTTGCTTAGGTACTTCCTTTACTTTCTGAGGGGCCTGCGCTTCCTTTCTCTTCGTTGCTTTCCCTTTTGCGCGATCCAGTCTCTCCACAGCACTCGTCCTCCAAAACGTCAAATGAATTTGAAGTTGCTATGGCGTTTGAAGGCGGCTTTATCAAAGTCTTCTTAAGGCCCCTGTCTTTCGCAACTCTCCAAGACGAGGTCCCTTTACTGCTGGTCTCCTCCTTCGTTACTTCTCGTTGTTTTTTAAGCTGACGCACCTCCTCCCGCAGAGAGTCCAACTCTGTCCTCAGGGCTCCCACTAGAGTCACCAGGTCCTTCACTACAACTTCCATATTGCTATGATAATATAACAACACTCAGGAGCTCCGGTTAACACAACCTCTCACTGTGACTTCACCTGACCGACTGATAATGGTAATGGTAATAGAGTTACAAGATACGAGCTTGATACAAGATACGCTGCCCAATAAACTCGCCCCTCGGGGCAAAATTTTAAAATTTAAGATACGAGCTAGATGGTGTTGAGATTGCGAAGTCGGATTGCGAAAGGGATCTGGGAGTAAGTAAGAATTTAAAACAAAAGAATCAATGCATGAATGTTCGTAATAAGGCAAATAGGACACTGGGATATATTAATCGAAGCGATAGTAACAAGACACCTGGTGTGGTTCTTCAGCTATATCTTGCTCTGGTTAGGCCCCATTTAGATTATGCAGTTCAGTTTTGGTCACCGTACTATTGAATGGATATAAATTCACTTGAACGTGTCCAGCATAGGATGACTAAGTTAATTCCCCAAATTAGAAATCTCTCATATGAAGAAAGATTAACAAAGCTTAAATGTTGTTTATCTGTTGTCTGTTTATCTGTTTATCTGGACCTCTGTTGTTTATAATATATATAAATGATTTAGATTCAGGTTTGAGTAGCAACATTTGCAAATTTGCCGATGATACGAAAATCGGTAGGGAAATTAATTCGGAGGAGGACTCACTATCACTTCAAGTTGATCTAGATAGGGTTTTGAAATGGTAAAAAAATTGGCAAATGCAGTTTAAAGCAGATAAATGTAAAGTTCTGAGGCTAGGTAATGATGATATAGGCTAGATGGTGTTGAGATTGCGAAGTCGGATTGCGAAAGGGATCCTCATCAATGATAAGCTCAAATCCCTCCAAGGTTGCCTGGTTTACTGCTACTTCATTTGGTACAGGGGCTTCTTCTCGCTCTGTTGTGAAGACCTCCTGAAATCTCTTGTTGCGTTCTTTATACTCCGCCTTGCCTTTATGTATCTGGTCTCCTTCTTTCAAAGTTTCATCACTTTCTCATTCTCTGCTGTTTTCCCTCCTGATGTGGCTGTGGAGCAGTTTAGGTAGGGTCTTGGCTTTACTCGCGATGTCATTTTCATACTGTCTCTCTACTTCTCTCCTCACTCTGAGGTACTCATTTCTGGCCCTCTGGTATGTCTTCCTGCTCTCTGGTGTTCTGTTATTCCTGTAGTTTCTCCATGTTCTTGTACTTAATTGATTCGCTACCATACATTCCTGATTGAACCATGGATTCTTCTGTTGCTTTTCAATTTTCTCCCTTTGGGCGAGGATTAACCTGTTTGCAGCTTCCTGGCATTTCTGGATGATGTAGTCCTTTATATATGTGTGTGTGTACTCACCTAATTGTACTCACCTAATTGTGCTTGCGGGGGTTGAGCTCTGGCTCTTTGGTCCCGCCTCTCAACCGTCAATCAACTGGTGTACAGATTCCTGAGCCTATTGGGCTCTATTATATCTACATTTGAAACTGTGTATGGAGTCAGCCTCCACCACATCACTTCCTAATGTATTCCATTTACTAACTACTCTGACACTGAAAAAGTTCTTTCTAACGTCTCTGTGGCTCATTTGGGTACTCAGCTTCCACCTGTGTCCCCTTGTTCGCGTCCCACCAGTGTTGAATAGTTCATCCTTGTTTACCCGGTCGATTCCCCTGAGGATTTTGTAGGTTGTGATCATGTCCCCCCTTACTCTTCTGTCTTCCAGTGTCGTAAGGTGCATTTCCCGCAGCCTTTCCTCATAACTCATGCCTCTTAGTTCTGGGACTAGTCTAGTAGCATACCTTTGGACTTTTTCCAGCTTCGTCTTGTGCTTGACAAGGTACGGGCTCCATGCTGGGGCCGCATACTCCAGGATTGGTCGTGTATGATATGTGGTGTACAAGATTCTGAATGATTCCTTACACAGGTTCCTGAACGCCGTTCTGATGTTAGCCAGCCTCGCATATGCCGCAGACGTTATTCTCTTTATGTGGGCTTCAGGAGACAGGTTTGGTGTGATATCAACTCTTAGATCTTTCTCTCTGTCTGTTTCATTAAGTACTTGTGTGTGTGTGTGTGTGTGTGTGTGTGTGTGTGTGTGTGTGTGTGTGTGTGTGTGTGTGTGTGTGTGTGTGTGTGTGCGCATTCACCTAGTTGTATTTGTAGGGGGAACCAAAGACCGGAGCTTTGGCTCTTTGGTCATGTCTCTCAACTGTGTGTGTGTCGGTGTCTGTGAATAGTCCAATTTTCGCTCATCATCTTTATTTTATGTAGATAGGTTATTGGTCCCCCATTCTCCTCATTGAATATAACTGGCAAATAATTCAGAAAGAGTAATTATGGTTCGTTTACAGGTTGTGCTGCAGTTTCCGAGCAAGAATACCACAATATGGAGACTACAGAACAAGCAGCACGTTGGCTGGACCTACGCTCAGGTCAGCACTGTCATCCACTGACAAACTTTTTGTTCTTGTATTTTAAAAGGCTACGGTCTCATTACTCACCAAGTTGCTACGGTCTCATTACTCACCAAGTTGCTACGGTGGCATTACTCACCTAGTTGCATCTACACAAGTTGCTACTTGTGTAGATGTGCTGAATAATAATATTAGATAATAATTAATTATCTAACCGATAAATTTTCGAATACCCTGGATTTGTAAAATGTTAACAAATAAATTGCCAATCACTGCTCCATATTTTGCTGCAATGTATTATATTTGGTAAGAATAGCTATTATAACTATAACAGTAATACTGTATATTATTACTATACATAATAGTAATATTATTTGTAGTAGAAATATTATCAGTAGTAATATTATTAGTAGAAATATTAGTAGAAGTATCAGAAGTGCGTTTATGATTATCATTGCTAAACGATGTTATTTGGGTTAAAAGAGTTATTTATGCACTTATAGATTAAAAGTACAGACTGATATCTATCAACCACGGTAGATCTATCAACCACGCTTTGAACAACCAGAATAAGGTTGATAAAGCTACCGTCTCTCGCTCTGTGGGTTGGATGTTCGAGGCTCCTATGTAATTAACTGTTATTAGCCACATTTATTGTGGATGACAATTTCCGTGACTGGGGCGAGGATCACCTAATTCCTCCATGCCTGAGTGTTAGCCAAGCGAAGGCTTACAGTTGGGCAGCAGTTATTTGCTTCTGGATTCTTTCCTTACTGTGGCTGTCCTAAACATGGTTACTTGAGCTCCGTTTGAGCTTAACCTATCGAGGTTCGAGGCTCCTAGAGCCAAAGTGAATGAAATATTGTTTCACGTGTTTATTGTAGTTGACAATTTATATATTTTTGTTGAGCCTAATAGCCAGAACGCACTACTTGGCTTAGTATGCAAGGCCCGATTTGCCCAATAGGCAGAAAGATTTTCGCTGTTTTCAAAAAATGGCTTCCAGATGGTTTATTTGAGATATTATTATATTAAGAACATGAATTATTGACTTAGTTATGTTAGTTTAGGTTAAGTTAAGATAGGTTAGGCTCGGCTATGTTAGGTTTGGTCATATTTCTATGTAACTCTTAATTAAAATTTGATAAAATGAGGTCTTATATAATGGAATGGAAAGCCTTATCGTTTCATAAAAAAAACATTTAGAAAATATATGAGTTCAGGAAAACTCGGTTTATTAGGCAAACTGGGCCTTGCATAGTAGGCCAAGTAGCGTGTTTTTGCTATTAGGCACAACATTTTTATGTATGTATGTATGTGTGTGTATGTATATATATATATATATATATATATATATATATATATATATATATATATATATATATATATATATATATATATATATATATATATATATATATGTCGTATCTAGTAGCCAGAACGCACTTCTCAGCCTACTATGCAAGGCCCGATTTGCCTAATAAGCCAAGTTTTCCTGAATTAATATATTTTCTCCATTTTTTCTTTTGAAATGATAAAGCTACCCATTTCATTATGTATGAGGTCAATTTTTTTTTTTATTGGAGTTAAAATTAACGTAGATATATGACCGAACCTAACCAACCCTACCTAACCTAACCTAACCTAACCTAACAGGTTAGGTTAGGTAGTCGAAAAACAATTAATTCATGAAAACTTGGCTTATTAGGCAAATCGGGAATTGCATATTAGGCTGAGAAGTGCGTTCTGGCTACTAGGTAGCCAGAACGCTACCTAGTAGCCAGTAGCTACCTAGTTAGCCGCTTGGCTAACACTCAACGCTACCTAGAACGCTACCTAGTAGTAGTAGAACGTTATATATATATATATATATATATATATATATATATATATATATATATATATATATATATATATATATATATATATATATATATATATATATAAAATATATATATACACACACACACACAAAAAAAAGTTGTACACAACACATGTACCCCCTATTAGACTTTTTTACAGGAACTTCTTTTCGACAGCTCATAAAACGGAGGAAAGGGTCCTGAAAGATATTGTTGATAGGAACGTTATCCCTACAGACAAAAACAGAAATTACTATTGACGATTTACTATAAAATAAAAAAAAAACGGCCAATCTACTCATGAAAAACTTTCTAGACACAAAGCAGAATGCCTTGAAGGAAACCAACGTCGTCTATGCCTTCAAATGCCCACTTGGGGACTGCAAGCCCCAAAGAATTTAGTATATAGGCAAGACAACAACGTCTCTTTCCAGGCGATTAACACTGCATAAACAACAGGGATCCATAAAGGAACATATAATCTCCTCTCACAACCAGACCATCACCAGAGAAGTCTTAACAAACAACACAGAAATCATCGATAGATACAGCGATAGCAGGCGGCTCGACATCTGCGAGGCACTACACATAAAAAAAAAAACACCAGCAATCAACAGCCAATTAATCCACAACTATATTCTACCCACTTCAAGACTTCGAAACAATATAGAAGCATCATTGGAAGTATGGGCCAAAAGACCCTCTGCAGTTACTTCCATTCTTTTTCTCTCATATCCAAGTAATACCCATAGTTTCGTGTTCTGTCTTGTATTTGTCACAAGTTTACCTCATACAAAACTGTTGCACCATATTACCTCACCCAAATGCGAGTATAAGTATGACGGATTAGCTGACTCTGTTTAGTGTTTTCAGGTTACAGTTGTGTGTGTAAACTAAAGTCTTTGAAAATGTAATTTATTACGAAACGCGTTCAAGCGTCGTGTCAGACTAGAAATAAAAGTTAATTTTGAAGAATGGATTTTTCAGTTACCATCGACAGTGAAATGAAACATAAGAAATATTGAGAAAATTCGTGTTAGAATTATTAATCTTACTTTTTCGGTCATATTTAACAACATATTATATATATAAAAAAGATCGACTGCTTGGCTGTTGTCTGTGATAAAGTAAGGGAAGACACGCAAAATACATAGTATGAACAATGAAACTTTAATTAATTTTAAAAATTATGAACAAAGAGAATCCCTTGGCTATGTACAGTGCAAACAAACAAGTCAAAAAAATATAACATAAAAATTAAGAACAAGGGTGACGTTACTCTACAAATAAAATAAAGACAAAAGAATGGATAAACAGGTGCTGAGAATATAGCGCTAGCTGAGAACCTCCACCAATAAACAGAGCGTATATCAGTTGGTTGTTCACAGCTTGAGAGCACAAGGATATTCTGACATCAATGGCTGGTTCAGGCCCAGACATCGACTTGGTAGAGGGTGCTGAGGAGCAGAGGTGCAGGTGTGCAGTCGGCGGGTCACCAATCAGAAGCAGGCAGGCTGGAATGGTAGTTTGCTGGTTGACGACGGTGGCGAGCCGGCATGGAGGGAGTGAGGAGTGGCGGGAGTTTAGGGTACGTTTGTCTTCTGGTCAAAACGTTTTGTGCTACTGGTAGACGTATCTTGAAGGTAGCATCTTAGTGTTGAATATATATTATTATATATGCATATATATATATAAGTAACTTTACGTAGGGAAGAGCAGGCCCAATCTCTCTTGAAAGAGATTACCGTCACAAAATATATATATATATATATATATATATATATATATATATATATATATATATATATATATATATATATATAATATATATAATATATATATATATATAATATATATAATATATATATATAATATATATTATTAAATATGGCCAAAAAGTAAGATTAATAATTCTAACACGAATTTTCTCAATATTTCTTATGTTTCTTTTCACTGTTGATGGTAATTGAAAAATCAATCCTCCAAAATTCATTTTTATTTCTAGTCTGACGCGACACTTGAACGCATTTCATAATAACTTATTACATTTTCAAAGACTTTAGTTTACACACACACAACTATAACCTGCAAACACTAAACAGAGTTCTTACTATGCTATGATTTAAACAGCGTTCATTTTATTTGGTACCCGCATTTTGGGTGAGGTGATATGTTACAACAGTTTTGGATGAGGTGAACAAAACTTTCAACACAGGACAGAACACGAAACAATGGGTATTAATTGGGTAAATTGAAGGTAAGAATGGATGTAACTGCAGAGGGCCTATTGGCCCATATTTCTTGATGCTTCTATATTGGAGCGGAGTCTTGAAGTGGGTAGAATATAGTTGTGCATTAATTGGCTGTTGATTGCTGGTGTTGACTTCTTGATGTGTAGTGACTCGCAGATGTCAAGCCGCCTGCTATCGCTGTATATATCGATGATTTCTGTTTCTCTTCCCACAACCAGACCATCACCAGAGAAATCTTAGCAAACAACACAGAAATCATCGATAGATACAGCGATAACCGGTGGCTTGACATCTGTGAGGCACTACACATCAAGAAGTCAATCCTCACAGATAAAGGAGCAAATCAAAAAGAAAATATTTTCAACTACCAAAAGTCGCCACAGAGCCCAAGGAGTGGAAGGAAGATCCACTGCGATATGTACGAACAAGCCACTGGTTACTCCTCTTTCAAGCCTGGCAAAAAGATATCCAGAGACATTGCAGTAGCCATACACAGACTCAGACTTGGTTACAAGTGCTGCTGGGAGGTAATGAACCCAATAGTTAAAGAGTGTCACATCTGTGAAACTGAAGCAGAGGCGCCACTATTGCACTACTTACTGGAATGTGAAGCTACTGAACCCCTGCGCATCAAACTCAACATTAATCCAACGACAGCAGCTGCATTAGATGCACATTCCACCGCGACTACAATGATTAGAAAAGCTGTTGAGGAATGGAACTCATTAGTGAGCATTCTGCATCTACATCCGCCACCAAGATAATGTTTATAAAACAAGATTAAAACAAGTGCACTATAAGAGAAGCGATAAATAAGCAGGGAAAAAGGAGAAGTCCCCTACTCCATTTTAAACTTAGACCCATATATCACAGAAAAAAGGTTATCAGGTATAACCAAACTCAATTACGGGCTCATCATAGCCAGTGCTACATGGACACTTCGTCCTGAGTAGCTAAATCTTTAACAACAACAACAACTGTTTAAATCATAGCATAGTAAGAACTCTGTTTAGTGTTTGCAGGTTATAGTTGTGTGTGTGTAAACTAAAAGTTTTTGAAAATGTAATAAGATATTATGAAATGCGTTCAAGTGTCGCGTCAGACTAGAAATAAAAATGAATTTTAGAGAATTGATTATATTTTTCAATTACCATCAACAGTGAAAAGAAACATTATAAATATTGAGAAAATTCGTGTTAGAATTATTAATCTTACTTTTTCTGTCATATTTAATAATATATGTCTACAGGAAAGACTGCTACCAAAATATACTAATATATATATATATATATATATATAATATATATATATTAGTATATATATATATTAGTATATTTTGGTAGCAGTCTTTCTTGTAAACATATGTTGTTGAATATGACCGAAAAAGTAAGATTTTAAGAAAAAAAGTAAGAAAAGGCAAAATTCTAACACGAATTTTCTCAATATTTCTTATGTTTCTTTTTACTGTTGATGATAATTGAAAAATCAATTCTCCAAAATTCATTTTAATTTCTAGTCTGACGCGACACTTGAATGCATTTCGTGATAACTTATAACATTTTCAAAGACTTTAGTTTACACACACACAACTATAACCTGCAAACACTAAACAGAGTTTTACTATGCTAATTTTTAAACAGCTTTTGTCTTATAAACTCGCATTTGGGTGAGGTCATATGTTACAACAGTTTTGGATGAGATGAACAAATTTTCAACACACGACAGAATACGGTTCAATTGGTATAGATGAAAGGGAAGAATGGAAGTAAATGCAAAGGGCCTATTGGCCCATATTTCCTCTTGATGCTTCTATATTGGTACGGAGTCTTGAAGTGGGTAGAATATAGTTGTGCAAGGCGCGATTTGCCTAATAAGCCAAGTTTTCCTGAAATAATATATTTTCTTTAATTTTTTTCTCATGAAATGATAAAGCTACCCATTTCATTATGTATGAGGTCAATTTTTTGTTATTGGAGTTAAAATTAACGTAGAAATATGACCGAACCTAACCAACCCTACCTAACCTAACCTATCTTCAGAGGTTAGGTTAGGTTAGGTAGCCGAAAATGTTAGGTTAGGTTAGGTTAGGTAGGTTAGGTAGTCGATAAACAATTAATTCATGAAAACTTGGCTTATTAGGCAAATCGGGCCTTGCATAGTAGGCTGAGAAGTGCGTTCTGGCTACTAGGTACGACATATATATATATATATATATATATATATATATATATATATATATATATATATATATATATATATATATATGCATATATAATATTTATATAATTTTTTTTGTGTTTGATTTAGTTCTGTAAATGTTCATGAATAATCTATACTTGCGAGAACGCCAAACCAAATCATTTGTTGTCCTCCAGGTGACCATACCAGCAGCTTCCTCCGTGAAGGTGGCCATAGAAGGCATCCAGGGCCCGAAGGTCATGGGCATGATCGGAGTCGATGACATTGCCGTCTTCCCACTAAACTGTGACTGTGAGTTGATGCATGTCTAATGTCCTGCACGCTAGGTAAATATATCCCAAACATTCCGTTGCAAGCATGTTGTAGGGAAGTCATCAACCCAGGTACAGTCATATAAGACCGATTTAGTGCATTGCTATATATTCACTCATTTAATTATATAACAGAATAAACATAGACATATATAGACTTTTTCATAGTAATGTTTGTTACAGATTATCTTGCCGCTTTATTATTTATTGTATGTCGTGATTAATAGTTTAAAAGGTATATTTTTTGCTTAAATATAACTTAATCACTACGTCGATGGTAATCTTTAAGGGATAAACAATTATATATTATAAGAACTGCTCCACATGCATTCATACTCAAGTGAAAAAAAATTGCTGGTCAAATACAAGCAGTAGAGAATGTTCAGTATAAATCGAGAAAAGATAAGAAAATTTCTCACGAATTTCAATTCGCTTGCCATCTTAGTCACAAAGTCAAGAACTGCCTCATAAACACGTCTAACTCCATCAGTCTGTCATTTATATTAAGTTACGAATATTTTTCTCCAAAAATGGCTACGAATATCATGTTTATTTATCAATCAAAATTTTGTAAGACACGTTAACTGCAACATTCCAACACCATCACAGTGTTCCAGGCACACTTACCATAACACCATCGCAGTGTTCCAGAAACACTTACCACAAAACTCCTACACTACAACAGTGTTCCAGGCACACTAACCACAACACTCCTACACTACACCAGTGTTCCAGGCACACTAACCACAACACTCCTACACTACAACAGTGTTCCAGGCACAGTAATTACAACACTCCTACACCACAACAGTGTTCCAGGCACACTAACCACAACACCACCACAGTGTTCCAGGCACACTAACCACAACACTCCTACACCACAACAGTGATTACAACACCAGGCACACTAACCACAACACCACCACAGTGTTCCAGGCACACTAACCACAACACTCCTACACCACAACAGTGATTACAACACCAGGCACACTAACCACAACACCACCACAGTGTTCCAGGCACACTAACCACAACACCACCACAGTGTTCCAGGAACACTAACCACAACACCACCACAGTGTTCCAGGCACACTAACCACAACACCACCACAGTGTTCCAGGCTCAGTAACCACAACACCACCACAGTGTTCCAAACACTAACCACAACACCACCACAGTGTTCCAAACACTAACCACAACACCACCACAGTGTTCCAGGCACTAACCACAACACCACCACAGTGTTCCAGGCTCACTAACCACAACACCACCACAGTGTTCCAGGCTCACTAACCACAACACCACCACAGTGTTCCAGGCACTAACCACAACACCACCACAGTGTTCCAGGCACTAACCACAACACCACCACAGTGTTCCAGGCACTAACCACAACACCACCACAGTGTTCCAGGCACTAACCACAACACCACAGTGTTCCAGGCACACTAACTATAACACTGTAGAAAACCAATATAATATTTGGTTTCATTTAAATATTTTTCAAGTTCTGATACTGAAAAGTTGTTCATACTCCGTACACTTCACTAATACGTCCAATACTTGATTATTAGGCACAGTTAAGGTGGCCTAACTTTAGAAAAGGTATTGTCAAATTGTGTTCATGGTATAGACTAAAAAATTATAACAAAACCAAAAATAATCATTCTGTAAGTTGCATAAATAAATAAAGACACTTTTAATTTAACTGAATTTATAGTTTTTGAATGGGAAGAATATGATGCGATTTAAAACAAGTATTTAAGATTATTTCATGCTATGAAAATCTTGACCTCCCAAAATATACAATTTTGCATTATCAATATCATTTGGAATTAGATAGTTATATTGGATTTCAACCAAACGAAAGAAATTAATGTTATTTAAATCAAATAGTAAACATAAGGAGCAGGCTGCCATTTTTTTATTTCACTGTAATAATGTGTACACATAAAACATTTTTGTACATTCTGAGGGGAAACTAGTCTTTCTCTTGTATCCACTTTATCATATAACGAAAGAACCATTCTCAGTGAAACCTGAATCAGCGGGAGTCCAGGTCGCAGACTGTACCTTCGACCACGACCTGTGTTCGTGGGAGCTGGAGAAGACCAACCAAACCTCCGTCTCTTCCCTGGACAGATGGATCTTAGCTGAAGGCAACAAAATTCTTAAGGATCACACCTTTAATGCTGACGGAGGTATGCAATTTCTCTCTTATATATCTGTATTTTTTTTTACATAGGTTGGTATAGGAACCGGCGACTGTAGACTCCTATTAGTAGGCTGAGAGCTTTCTCTTGCCATAGCTTATGGTAAGCCTTACCCCCCCTACTAGTTTCCCTGAAATACGACCCATCAAATCGTTTAACAACCTAGTACCCAATCACTGTTGGGTGAACAGAGACATACAGTTAAGGATTGACGCCCAGGCAATCCTCCCCGGCTAGAATACGAACCCAAGCCAAATCGATCGCCAGTCGAGGATGGAGTGTCTTATCACTGCGCCCCCAGGGGGCTGCATATCATAAGATTGTTATACAATCTTAAGATTGTACTAAGTTCTATATTGACCAAACAGGTAAACATCTTGACCAGAGACTAAAAGAACACAAATATAGTATAAGAACACTCAAGAGTACAATGCATTGTTTGCTCACTAAATCATTCAATTGACTGGACTAGTACATGCAAAACTGTGTGGTGTAATTCAGTTACTTAAAGAAATATTACTGAATTATCTTTTATAAAAAGTATGGAATTATAATACTGCACTAAGTACTTATGTTATATAATAATAGTGAATAATTCATTAAGTACTTTCGCATTTAATAATACTTTTCAAAAGGATGGATATTAGAAGTCAGTGGTGGTGGATACATATAGGCAGGGATGAGGTGAGGTGAATTTATACCAGTAAGATGATCTTTGACGATGTCATTGTCACATTGCTCATCATGATTTAATTTCTTCATTTACACATGCACACACACACACACACACACACACACACACACACACACACACACACACACACACACACACACACACACACACACACACACACACACACACACACACACACACACACACACACACAAACACATACACACACACTCACACACACAGGAAGTGAAGTGGTGGAGGCTGACTCCATACACGGTTTCAAATGTAGATATGATAGAGCCCAGTAGGCTCAGGAATCTGTACGCCAGTTGATTGACAGTTAAGAGGCGGGACCAAAGAGCCAAAGCTCAACCCCCCGCAAGCACAATTAGGTGAGTACACACACACACACACACACACGAGGCAGAAACAAATGGGCAAAGTTTCTTTCACCCTGAATGCCCCTGTTACCTAGCAGTAAATAGGTACCTGGGAGTTAGTCAGCTGTCACGGGCTGCTTCCTGGGGTGTGTGTGTGTGGTGTGGAGAAAAAAAAAAAAGTAGTTAGTAAACAGTTGATTGACAGTTGAGAGGCGGGCCGAAAGAGCAAAGCTCAACCCCCGTAAAAACACAACTAGTAAACACATTGAAGCTGCACAGAAGAGCAGCTTCTGTGGCTAGCAGGAACGGATCCAGACTACTAATCATGGAAGACTTCAACCATGGGAAGATAGATTTGGGAAACAGAGACCCACATGGAGGGCCAGACACATGGAGAGCTAAGCTGCTGGATGTGGCAACAAGAAACTTTCTAAGTCAACACGTCAAGGGACCGACAAGAATGAGAGGAGGGGATGAACCAGCCTTGCTTGATCTGATATTTACCCTAAATGAGTCAGATATAAGGGAAGTTAAGTTGGAAGCCCCCTTGGGAATGAGTGATCATAGTGTATTGAGCTTTGAGTACCTGGTTGAGCTAGGAATTATCACCCCCAAAAAAGAACTGGGAAACAAAGGGCTGGCGTACCGAAAGGGAAACTATGAGGAGATGAATAGATTCCTATGGGATATACATTGGGACACAGAACTCGGAACCAAGTCCGTACAAGACATGATGGACTATATCACCCAAAAATGTCAGGAGGCTGTAAGCAGGTTTTTCCCAGCCTGACAGGAAATAACAGAGAAGCAAAGGAAGAATCCGTGGTTTAATAAGGAATGTATGAAAGCAAAGGAGCAAAACAAAAGGGCATGGAGGAACTTCCGTAATAACAGAACACCGGAAAGTAGAGAGAGATACCAGAGAACCAGGAACGAGTATGTTAGTGCGAGAAGAGCAGCTGAGAAAAGGAATGAAAATGATATAGCTAATAAGGCCAAAACCGAGCCAAAGCTACTTCACAGTCACATCAGGAGGAAGACAACAGTGATGGAACAGGTGATGAAACTTAGGGTGGGCGAGGACAGGTACACAGAGAATGACAAAGAGGTGTGTGAAGAACTCAACAAAAGGTTCCAGGAGGTCTTTACAATAGAATAGGGAGAAGTCACGGCGCTAGGAGAGGTGGCAGCAAACCAGGTGACCTTGGAAAGGTTCGAAATTACAAGAGATGAGGTCAAGAAGCACCTATTGGAGCTGGATGTGAGAAAAGCTGTTGGGCCAGACGGAATCTCATCATGGGTATTGAAAGAGTGTGCAGGAGCACTTTTGCATGCCACTCTCCATAGTGTATAGTAGGTCACTGGAAACGGGAGACCTACCAGAAATATGGAAGACTGCTAATGTAGTACCAATATACAAAAAGGGTGACAGACAAGAGGCACTGAACTACAGGCCAGTGTCCTTAACTTGTAAACCATGTAAGGTGATGGAGAAGATTGTGAGAAAAAACCTAGTAACACATTTGGAGAGAAGAGACTCCGTGACAACCCATCAACATGGGTTCAGGGAGGGTAAATCTTGCCTTACAGGCTTGATAGAATTCTACGATCAGGTGACAAAGATTAAGCAAGAAAGAGAAGGATGGGCGGACTGCACTTTTTTGGACTGTCGGAAAGCCTTCGACACAGTACCCCATAAAAGGTTGTTGCATAAGCTGGAGAAACAGGCAGGAGTAACTGGCAGGGCGCTCCAGTGGATAAGGGAGTACCTAAGTAATAGGAAGCAGAGAGTTACAGTGAGGGGTGAGACCTCAGATTGGCGTGAAGTCACCAGAGGAGTCCCACAGGGCTCTGTGCTTGGACCTATCCTGTTTTTGATATACGTAAATGATCTCCCAGAGGGTATAGACTCAATCCTCTCAATGTTTGCTGACGACGCCAAAATTATGAGAAGGATTTAGACAGAGGAGGACAGCTTGAGGCTTCAAGAAGACCTGGACAAGCTGCAGGAATGGTCAAACAAATGGCTGTTAGAGTTTAACCAAAGCAAATGTAATGTAATGAAGATAGGGGAAGGAAGCAGGAGACCAGATACAAGGTATCATTTGGGAGATGAAATACTTCAAGAGTCAGAGAGAGAGAAAGACCTGGGGGTTGATATCACGCCAGACCTGTCCCCTGAAGCTCAAATCAAGAGGATAACATCAGCAGCATATGTCAGGTTGGCTAACATAAGAACGGCCTTGAGAAACTTGTGTAAGGAATCTTTCAGAACATTATACACCACATATGTCAGACCAATCCTGGAGTATGCGGCTCCAGCATGGAGTCCATATGTAGTCAAGCATAAGACTAAACTGGAAAAGGTTCAATGGTTTGCCACCAGACTAGTACCTGAGCTGAGAGGTATGAGCTACGAGGAGAGACTACGGGAATTAAACCTCTCTTCGTTGGGAGACAGGAGAGTTAGGGGGGACATGATCAACACATTCAAGATTCTCAAGGGAATGGACAGGGTTGATAAAGACAGGCTATTTAACACTAGGGGCACACGCACTAGAGGACAAAGGTGGAAACTGAGTGCCCAAATGAGCCACAGAGATATTAGAAAGAACTTTTTTAGTGTCAGAGTGGTTGACAAATGGAATGCATTAGGAAGTAATGTAGTGGAGGCTGACTCCATACACAGTTTCAAGTGTAGATATGATAGAGCCCGATAGGCTCAGGAACCTGTACACCTGTTGATTGACGGTTGAAAGGCGGGACCAAAGAGCCAGAGCTCAACTTCCACAAGCAAAACTAGGTGAGTACAACTAGGTGAGTACACACACACACACACACACATACACACACACACACACACACACACACACACACACACACACACACACACACACACACACACACACACACACACACGAACCAATCATCTGGTTGTGTGAGCGGGAGGAGTCTGGTATGTACCCCCTGTCTGGTCAATTAATCAGGTGTACAGATTGAGGTAAAATATTATCAAATTCTTGTTCAGGATATCATATATATTTAAAATCTCAACGTGGCTCATTTAAGTAGAGGTAACGCTTAAGGAAACTCGTGACACACGCACGCACGCGCACGCACGCACACGCAAAAACGCACACACAAACGTTCAGTCAGGGAAGAAAGGATTAACACTTTTTGTGGAAAGAGCCAAGCCCCTACTATACCCCACCTCCTCTCATACCCTCCATCTGACCTGACCTGACCTCACCTGGTCAGAACCACCGCCCCCCCACCCCCCAGTCCCCCACATCCCTTACACATACTCTCCCCCTCTCTCTCTCTCCCACTTTCTCCTCTCTCTCCTCTCTCTCCCACTCTCTCTCTCTCTCTCTCTCTCTCTCTCTCTCTTTATCTCTCTCTCTCTCTCCCTCCCTCTCTCTCTCTCTTTCTCTCTCTCCCTCCCTCCCCTCTCTCTCTCTCTCTCTCCCTCTCTCTCTCTCTCTCTCTCTCTCTCTCTCTCTCTCTCTCTCTCTCTCTCTCTCTCTCTCTCTCTCTCTCTCTCTCTCTCTCTCTCTCTCTCTCTCTCTCTCTCTCTCTCTCTCTCTTTATCTCTCTCTTTCTCCCTCTCTCCCTATCTCTCTCTCCTCCACTCCACTCTGCCCTTCTGACGAATCCTATCATGGCACAACTAGAAACAGCGTCTAGCATGACAGCCAGAAGCAACAGGGGAACAGGGAAAAGTTCAGGCGACGAAATGAAGGAAATGCTCGCCCAGTTTCTGGAGGACATCAAGAGTGAGATGCAGGAAATGAAGAATGAAATAAGCAACCTAAAAAGAGAGCTGAGAGCAGCAAAGGAGGAGATTAGAGCCCTCAAAGAGAACAATATCGATGCTGAGGCTCAGAAAAACACCCAGGAAGAAGGTGGTAATAGTACTTTGGAAGAGAATGCCA